TGGACTTGCGCTCGGACGCCTCGGTGGCGCCGGGCGCGGGGGGGGCTGAAGAGAGGCCCCTCTGCTGGCAAAGCCCACACGGCGAGCTCCGCGGATGGCGGGCGCTCAAACTTTTTTGGAGAGGGAGATTTCTGGCTCGCGGATTGCTCTTGCTCACTGCTAAAGTCCTCTGATGGTCCAGGCAGAGCCGAAAGAACACTACGCAGCTCATCCACGGTTTCATCTCCCAGTTTCCCATCTTGTACAACGGAGGAACTTTCGGCAGTAAAGTTTCTCATCCCGGCTTCACTATTTTTAGGCTGGCACTGTTCCAGTGCTCTAAAGATCACTCCCCAAGTTGCTGCTAAGTTGCACGCACTGGTATTTCCCGCAACTAGCTCAGTCCACAGGTGTTCCCCTACTGACCACCAAATCTCAAGGTCAAACACATCATTCACAGTTATAGCAAACTCCTGCGCTTTCACCCAGTTGAACAAAGCGTGCATATCTTCTTCAGGAACACAGAGTCTCATGCTCAGCAAGGCATTTTGCCATGCAAGGCAGACCAGCTGCTCGTTAACTAAATTACAGTTCTCCATTTTGAAAACTTTATCTTGGCGGCTCCGCAAATGCAGTAATGCAGACGCTATCGGCTCTGACCCGGGACTTCGAGCTCTGCTTCACCAAGACAGCCGTTCCAAGCCCGCTCACCGGCAGGGCTCCACTATCCCGTTGGTTTTCAAAACCAGCTTCCTCTAGGAAAGCCCGGGAGAATTCCACTTACCCCTCTAGGGGGAAGGGCTGGCTTTTTTCCCCGCTCGCTTGCTGCTTACCCTCAGGGGATTAGCAGGTGTCGTCACGTCGGTTGCTTTCTGACCTCGGGGGTCGGCTGCACATCACGTCGGGTTACCGGACCTCGGGGAGTCGGTTCAACATCACGCGGGGTCACCAGATGTCGTTCTGATTGAGAACAGCGATAAAGAACGACACGGACTCTCAAGGGAGTCACAACAGGAGAATCTCTCCAGTTTATTACTCTAGGCTTGTCTTATAGACAGATACGTGGAAAAGTACAGAAAGGAAACTCTTATTGGTTAGTAAAGTGCTACATCACCATCATTGGTTAGTGGGGCATACTACCTCCCTGACTCTCTCCTGCAAGGAAAACAAGAGGACAGACAAATAGCACCTGGCAGTTGTTTTCTGTCTCTGAGGATTGTTTTGAAATCCTCCTATGAAGTTCTCAGGCTAGCTTCTCAGGCAGGACTGATAGGCCATGGGGCCTGCAGTTTCTGCAGCTCCCTGCAGCCTGCTCCAAAGCTAGCATCCATATTCAGACTCCATACTAGCAAGACTGAATCAACAATGACCACACCTCTGTGAATTGCAAAATATCACTGTTGTTCTCCAAAGAGAATTAAGTGCTGAAGCAGATCATTCTGTGTTGTGTGTCATCTAGTGTTGTTAGTGGACACAAAATAGAAGCATAGATTCAATCACAGCAGCTGAGGTTTTTCATCCAAAGAAGGCAGAAGCCTTTATTTCGGGGTTTTCAACCCTTCTATAAGGTGCGCCAATACAGGTTTAACATGATTTGTAAAGAGAACAACACCTTTCTCATCCTATTGGTGGGACGAGAATCACACTCAGAATATCTGTATACCACAGATATTGTTTTTGTTTTGGGAACCAAAAAACCTATCTACAAAACAGTCCTTGAGAGAGAAAATGTTCCCAAAAGACTTTCCCTTGGGAAACAGATCAGCCACTGACAGGCTGAAAACTCTCAGGCTCAGAAAATCATGTCCACAATCTCACCCTTTTTTTCTAGAAAAAAAAAGAAAAAATTAAAAATTAGCAAGATGTTTAACTCCTGGTCATAGAGGGACCATTTGAGTGATCACTCACATCTTCTGCATCTGTGTCATCACCCAAACGTTCCTCTACTTGATGACCTTCATTCTGGTCACAGCCTGTGGTTTGCCTGTTAGCTCAGTTCTGCCTTTGCAATTGCAGGTCAGGATGGACACACTTTGTAGGTACCCAGTGCACCCCAGTATCTGTGGATACAAATGTATACCCATGACCTGAACAGATAAGTTCAAATGGGCCTTCCCACTACTTGGTGGTCAAATTTCACACCCAAACTTTCACTCAGGGCTGATGCGACTTGCCCAAAGCAATGAAAGGTGATGGTTCAAGACAAAAGGGTTATTTGAATTTTGTGGCACCATAAGGTGATTGACCATATACAAAGCTTTTGCCAATCAACTGTGCGGGGTTTCACCCTCCATTCCCCGTTTTTGGTTTTGAAGAACCTGCTTCAGCGTACCATGAACGTGTTCAACAATGGCTTGACCAGTTGGAGAATGCAGAATGCCAAATTTGTGTGCAACACCCCACAGCTGCATGAACTGCCGCACGTTCTGTGAGGTGTACGCAGGGCCATTATCGGTCTTCACAGTAGAAGGTATCCCTAGCATGGCAAAAGCCTGCTTCCAATGGGCAATGATATTGCGAGTTTTTTCTCCAGTATGCGCAGAAGCCCACATGGCTGAGGGGGACGTGTCAAGAGACACATGCACATACTTGAGTCTGCCAAATTCAGCAATGTGGGTAACAACTGTCTGCCAAATCTCCAAGGCTTTGAGACCTCTGGGGTCTACCCCCACCAGTAAAGGCAGAGAAAACACATGGCAGTCATCACAGGAACTGACAATGACACCAGCCTCAGCTGGGGTCAACTGAAACTGCTTTTGTAACATATGTGCATTTTGATGAAAAAATTCATGCCATGTTTTGGCTTGTGCGAGTACATCAGGCTGAGGTGATACCCATGCAGGGTTAGCCAGCTTGTCAGCCCTGGCATTATCTTCTGCTATGAAACCTGGCACATTGGTACAACTTGTAACTTGCTCTTGAACTGAATTTTGAAGGGCGACTACATTTTCTTCTGGGAGGGGCCACTGGTGTTTCCAGATGGGTTTGTCCCCCTGCCCCCATAAAGGAGGTGTGGGGCACTGTGCGCCCTTCATTGCAGTGGCCCCCATCAAAAATCCATCCCAATCCGTACCCCCAAGCTGCCAGTACATCCTGCCCCCAGAGGTTAGCAATAGCTGTGGTGGCATAAGGTCGAACCACAGCAGACTGTCCCTCTGAGTTTATAATCAGCACAGGCTGCTGGCTGATGAAGCATTGCGCTGTTGCACCCAATCCTGTGATGGGCGACTCCACAGGATCCAGAGACCACTGCAGAGCAGAGACCACGCAGAGGAGGACAGGATGGTTATGTCAGCACCTGTGTCGATCAGACCTTGTAGGTGGATCTTTGGTGGGGTGGCACCAGGGAGGCACAGGGTACTCCACATCTTGGGACATTTTTTATGGATGCTAGCTTTGGAACAGGCTGCAGGGAGCTGCAGAAACTGCAGGCCCATGGCCTCTCAGTCCTGCCTGTGAAGCTAGCCTGAGAAAATTCATAGGAGGATTTCAAAACAATCCTCAGAGACAGAAAACAACTGCCAGGTGCTGTTTGTCTGTCCTCTTGGTTTCCTTGCAAGGGAAAGTCAGGGGGGTGGTGAGCCCCACTGACCAATGATGGTGATGTAGCACTTTACTAACCAATAAGAGTTTCCTTTCTGTACTTTCCACGTATCTGTCTATAAGACAAGCCTAGAGCAATAATATCTGTCTATAAGACAAGCCTAGAGCAATAAACTAGAGATTCTCCTGTTGTGACTCCCTTGAGAGTCAGTGTCGTTCCTTCCCGCCGTTCCCAGTCAGAACGACAATTTTTCAGTCAGGGTTGCAGTCCAGTGCACTTGAGGTGGCTTGCTCAATTCAAAGCAGCCGTCCCCTCAACACCGGTTCACAGCCCTGGAAACTGAAGACTTGAAAGGTACAAGTTGAGCAATGTGTGTTTCTCAGGGATAGTGACAGGGAGGTGGGAGTGGAAACCATAGCATGAATCTGTCCCCTATAATCTGCATCAATAAGTCCCAGATGCACAATGATACTCTGGAGAGTGGTACTTGACCTCCCCATGAGGAGAGCACTTTTGCCCTCCCCCAAGTGTCCAAAGGCATTCAAAGGAACTTTGTGCACTTTGCAAGAGTTCAAGACGCCTGCTGCTGCTGTGCAGACATCAAGTCCAGCTGAGCCACGGGTGCTAGCCACAAGCCAGCTGAGCAGACCTGCATCAGCATTGGGACCTGGGGAAGTGTTTATGTCTGCACGCGTTTCCCCAAAGCGCTCAGCTTAACGCTTCCCGAATTTGGCAAAGGATGGCCCTTAGCATGTAATTTCACTTTGCAAGCCTCTGCAATGTGGTTTGGATTTCCACACCGACCACACAGAAACGAAGGAGTTTTCCCCTTCTGTTTGTTTTCCCTGCTTCTTGTTGGCTTGTGCTTTCACCTGTTTCTGCTGCTTACCCTTTGGCCCTTTTGAGGATGCTGGTAAAGCAGTAACCAAGGCAGCCATCCTATAATCTGTGGTGCTGATTTTAGCACAAGCCTGGACCATATATGCTAAGGATGGGTCCCCTGGGAGGGCCTCTATCACCCTCCTGCAATCATCATTAACATTGCTTCTTGCAAGCTGTCTGACCAGTAGCTTTCTCAAATCAGGATCATCCACCTGCTTCTCCAAAGATGCAGAGTTTTTCAACAAACTGCAAATAAGGTTCCTTAGTCCCTTGGACTATAGTGACCAACCTCTGTTTTGGAGCTGCTAATTCTATGGTTTAAATCAGAGCTGCCTGTCTTCTGGCACTGATCTAGCATCTGTGGGTAAAAGGTAACCTGAAAATCAGGATTAGCAAAATTTCCAACCCCTGTCAACAGATCACTTCCAACCCGATACTTGGAGTCTTGTTGAGACAATTGACTGTTGCGTGCAGCTACTTTCACAACCAGCTGCCTCCAATTGGCTTCAAAGACTTCAAGCAGGACAGGCTGAAATAACACCTGCACAGGGTGCCTAATGTCATATGGTACCAGTAGCTCGGAGTTGATGACTCTAATCACCTGCATCACTTCTGGAGAACCTAGACCATATCTAGCCACCTTGTCTCTAATGTCCAACACAGCTTTCAAAGATATAATCGGATATATATTAGGCTGCCCTGTATGAGGATTTGCCTTAACCACAGAAAGCCTGGAGACCTCCTTGTGAGGTCACAGCATTTCTTTGATCCTGCCCGACAGACGATGCAGACGACAGGCTGGAGTTTACATCTCCTGTACCAGATTGCCTGTTCCTCCCAGCATCTGTAAAGCCAGGAAGATCATCTCCAGTTCCTCTAAAACGCTCAAGGAGATCCCATTCTCCTATCTGCAAAATCTTTTCTTTGACCTAATCCCAAAAAAGCCTTGGATCTCTGGGACGGGCTGTGACCTAGCACAGTGGGAGTGTCCAGTGGGTGCCGGAATGGGGACCCTCTCGATGTCCCCCATTCCAAGCAGAAACCCGCCCCAAAGCGGCAGTGTCACCGCGAGACCCTAATGTGAATAGGGGGGGCTCAGAGGCAGCTGCTCCAGGACCAGTGGTGGCTGGATCCGGAGCAGCCCCGGCAGGTTCTGTAGCAGATCCAACCAATCCACCTAAACCCAGCACGCAGGAGGGAGGGAGTGGTGCCGATGGAGGCCCGCCCCCACCCCCACGCGGCGCTGCAGGCTCCAGCGCCGGGAGAGAGAGTGGGCCCAGAGGGGCCCCAGCACCGCGCCACTCCCGCCGCCCATGGCCGCTGCCGCACCGGTGGGGGGTGCGGGGGAAACCGGTTCCAACCAAAGACCTGTGTTGGCTGCGGCGGCATTTGCTGTCGGTGAGCTGCCCGCAGTCGCTGTGCCACCCGCATTCTCCCCTCCTCGCCATGGCGGGAGGAGACCTGGGGGACCGCAGCTCTGGGTGAGCTCCCGCGCCGCCTGCATCAGCGGCAGAGACAGCCATGCCGGGGGCCCTGCTTGTGCTGCCGGCAGTGCTGATCCTGCTGGCCCCTGCGCCCGTGGCGGCGGCGCTCACACCGGCAGCACCACTTTTGCTCGTGTCTGCGCTGCCGGCCGCGCCCACACGAAGAGGCTGCGCGGAGGGCATTGGCAACACAGCCTGTGCGGGACAGAGAGGAATGGCTCCATCTTCGCTGATGCTATGTCTAGCAACTGGCCGACTGCGCCGGCTGCCGGCGCACCTGTTGACCGCGCAGGCGCAGCGGGACTGTTTTCAAGCCGTGGCATGGGAGTGGGCGGAACTCCACCGGTCCCTATGCCAGCAGTGCTTGCCTGTGTGAATGGAATTAACGCAGCTACTCCACAATTCATACACACCACAGAAAGAGGCCTCTGTGGTCCTGCTGCGGCTGCAGGCGGAAAAGGAACTGCTGAGGTTCTCCCTCCCTCCACCACAGGGAATGCATGGGTATCCCCTCCCTAATCCGCAGTTCCCCAAGCCCCGGGCAGCGTAGCGCCGGCTGAGCGGTGCGGGAGAGACTAAGTTGAACCTCCCTTCTTCTGCTGGCGGTGAGCCATTCCGTGTGACCCAGAAGAGGGACTCCCCATCCCCGGGTTAGACATGCAAAGGAGTGGTGTGGGAGTGTAATAAAATATGTTTGTTCATTAAAGTATGTTGCTTGTTAAGTAGGATGTGTTTACTATAATGGAAAGGTTTTTCGTTAAAGTCTGTTTGTTCAATGTTTGTGGTTAGCTTTTTGTAAAGGTTACGGCTCGCACCTGTTCGTGGTTAGCTTTTTGTAGAGGTTAATACATTTGTATGAGTGGTACTTTCCTGAGTGGTGCTTTCCAGAAACCAAGAGAAACAGAAGATGCCCCGGCAACAACCTCAAAGCATGCGCAGAGTACTCCGGAAAATTGCAACGATAGGCTCGTGAGCGGCTTAAAAGGACCGACCGGAACCCCAGTCGGCGCGACAGTTGGAAGGACGGAGTTCCCCTGTCGCCCAGCGCTGAATTGCCTCTTTGTTTTGCTTGTTCCAATTAATAAAAATCTTTGATTGGCTTTCTCAACTATTGTTAATTAATAAAATCTATAACAGGAGGAAAAAAATTCTCTCAGTACTGTCCTGGTCAAAGTCCGATCCTGTCTCTCCCGAGTCAAGATCCACCGGAGCGACTTCTGGATCAGACCAGTCCTCTTCTTCAGAGCCGGACTCCGAGACCTCCCTGGATAGGTCTCTGAAGCTAGTGCTCACTAACATGGTCATAAATTTCTTCCACAGCAGAAGCAATTTCACTTCCTCCACTTCGTCTGCCAACATCAGTTGAAACAAGGCGTCGCCTAGTGCTTGCCAACAACGTTTCAACAGCGCTCAGCAGCGCTCAGAAAAAATCCATGCTCTTTCCCCCATGAATATAGAGTTTGGAGATCAAATCCAGAAATATCCAGTGCATTTTTCTGGAAAATGTCTGTCCATAAGTCCAAGACTAGAGACTCCTCTGGAGATAAACCAGCAATTAGCATGCTTGCAGCTCACTTGGAAAAATCTTCCAGCAAAAGAAAAACGACAGACAAAAACCTGCACACTTGGACCAAAAAGAAAAAAACCTTTTTCTCAGGCATGGGGGAAAGGAATTTACCTCTCTCACTGTTACAATACCCACAATACCCACGTTGGGCTGCCAAATGTCGCTAGTAGACACGAAACAGAAGCTGAGGTTTTTCATCCAAAGAAGGCAGAAGCCTTTATTTCGGGGTTTTCAACCCTTCTATAAGGTGCGCCAATACAGGTTTAACATGATTGGTAAAGGGAACAACACCTTTCTCATCCCATTGGTGGGACGAGAAGCACACTCAGAATATCTGTATACCACAGATATTGTTTTTGTTTTGGGAACCAAAAAACCTATCTACAAAACAGTCCTTGAGAGAGAAAATGTTCCCAAAAGAAACTTTCCCCTGGGAAACAGATCAGCCACTGACAGGCTGAAAACTCTCAGGCTCAGAAAATCATGTCCACAATCTAGTTTCCTTTTTTTAATTAAAAAAACCTGAACAAAACAAAAGTGAAAAAAGAGTAACTCCGGCATAAAGCACATGTACAGATTGTTTTGGGACTCTCACATTTTTTTGAAATTGAAAGGATGAAAAGCTTTGGAAACCACAGTTTGTGATTCAGTCATTCAGGCAGCTGTTCCAGAGGGCTAACATATTTTGCTGTGTACCAGAGCAGTTCCAGAGATGAAGAGCCATTCAGAAAAGCTAAAAAATTCAGAAACCTTACTGTTAGATGCAGTTAAAACAACTTCTTTTACTAGGAATTAGTGAAAATAAAGAAACAGAACATTTAAGTGCATAGATTCATCATAGCGTGTTTAATCTACAAGATAAATAGACTCATTTCCTTTCAGTATTTTCCAAACTTGTGCTTGAGAAGAGTCAGACACACCTTATGAAACACACTTTCTATATAAGTAGTACATAATATACCTTATATGGCTCTGGTTTAGAATCATTACCATTCTGTGATGGTTGCAATGGAGTCTCAGTATTTCATCTTAGCTGCACACTTGTGCACATAGCACAATGGAGGGTTGGGAGCACAGTGGCGTATAAACATGTTATTCATAATAAATGTATTTTTTATAAAGCCAATACTGAGAAAACAAGGTTATTTAGCTATTCAGTTCTTTCTTAGTCCCTAAGAATGCCTGTTGCATAGCCCTTCACAGGGATTTTGCTCTCTTTGTGCAAGATCTTAAGAGACAGGCTTTGCCATGGCCTTAAAGGCTTGGGATTTATACCAGTTTGAAGGTTTATACCAAACCTTTGTGCTGTTACACTACCACTACATGCCACTGCCAAGAGAGAGCAACACAGAAAGACCACAGCAAGCTGAATGAGATTTGGGAGGAGCAGAGCCCAGCACACCCAAGGCAGGAGCCACCACTTGGATACATGACAATACCAACCAGTCATTTTTGATTTTTTTGATATTTTTGATATTTTGATTGTCATGCCATGAAGTACCTAATGCTACTACTTGTGAAGAGGTTTTCTTCACAAAGCAGGAGTCTTAAAATCTTTACTCCTGGATGTTGTTATGCAAGGAACGGTAGCACCTGAAATGTTTATGCAGCAGGAAAATTAGGTCATGTGCAGCCAGATGTCCTATGCTTACAATCACAAATCCAATCAGGAGCAAACACATTGTTATTTTCCCTGTAATCCAATTAAAAAATGCTAACAAGTACTTTGATAATATTTTGACTTGATTTTAAAACCTATTGCTTACATTTTAGCATGGAATGTTACAAAGGTGTAACTATGTACAACAGTGTGGACCAAAAGTAAGAAATCAATGTACATATCAAGACAACAAAATTCATCTGGCCTGGCTTAGTTAAGTCTACTGCTTCTCTTAGCACATTTATTTAGGACATACTGAGTGGCTTGATGAATGCTACTTTCTACAGCAGAGGTGTTAATCACAGAAGCGTTTCTCTAAGCCACATAAATCATCTCTTGCAGCACTGAATACTGGCTGTAATAACCAGTGTGTAGTAGGACAAACTGCACAGTTTCTTTTATGTCTTCAAAGAAGAGTATGAGGTTTCACACAGGAATCAGCTGGTTGATTGCCACAAATATTTGCATTAAACTTTCCAGACGCATCCACACTGCTTACTGGGAAAAAGAAAAAACAATCTAATTTATAGAAAACAACAATAAATTATGTTTAGCAACAGACACGATTCAGCAGGTCTTTTTCTTTGCAAACATTCAAAGCACACTGTAAATTTGACTGCAGGTTACCAGTTAAGTGAATTAGGAAGTATACACAGCACTAATGCGTAAATCATGCTTATCTGATGGCTTACGGAGACTTCCTCTGTTGCCATCACTAAAGCCCATTTTCAAGGAATCCCTCATGTTCATCGACATTGCTCAGGCATAAGTGAATTCCCCCACACGCTGGACTTACTTGTACGAACAGTTACATGCTTAACTTTAAGCACAAGGCAAACCAATTGCTTTTGCTGAGATTACTGATACAAGTAGTTCCATAGCAGCATCAATTTGGGCCCAATTGCCAATTGAATGAATGGCTGAACATCTTTACTCAGGCATGCTCTGAGCATCAATTTAGGGCTTTATCTGAGGATTTAAGCCATTACTACTTCCTCTATCCCTTCATCAAATAATCAGGAATTGAAAAACCAAGTTTACTAGATTGTGATTTGATTCTCCTATCAACATTCTTTTAATTTCATTTTCTTTGCCTTGAATTCCTTTAAAAATATAATGTGTTTTAATGCAAAGGCAGAGTTAAGCTTCATACTACAAAGTGTTTACAATCAGAACACCAAAAAAAGAAAGGAAGAAAGAATCCTTTCCTGACTCCGAATGCAATGTGGTTCTAGACATGTAAATTGGTCACGTGACAGCCACTAATCTAGCACCAAGTAGTAAAATATTTCACAAATCTTTTTCCCCCTGCCAACAAGAACAAATTGAAATTCAATCAGAGACCCTTTTGTAAACTTGTGTTGATATACACCTAAAAAGTAATTTTTTTGTCAAAAAGAGTCCTAGCATTTTAAGCAGAATTGAGTGCACCGGTACACTAGTAGGAGATTCATCTATTATTTCATCCATTTTCAATTTATTACATCAAAGATGTTTCCAACAGCTTGCCTTCTCTGCCAGTCCCACCCTTTTCAGTAACCATCTCGCCTTCATTAACTGAGCTGGCTATAGAGTGTATTTGTTGTCTTAATCATTATCTGGAATAGCAACAATTTGTAGGATTGTCACATGTTTATAAGGAAAAAAAAAAAAAGGATTCCTAACTCCATTGCCTTCTCTATACCACAACATTTATGTGTTCCAGAGCAGAGACAATTTCTTAGTTATTTGGTTTTCTGATGCAGTACTCCCAGGTGCCCTTAGCTTTCAATTTGAGCAAAAATAAAAACTTTGAGAGGCACACGCTTTCAACTTTTCTGACAATAAAAAAATAAAGCCACACGATAAAGACACTAGCAGAATAGAATTATATTCAGTATTTTTCATTAGCACAGATTTAAAGTGCTGAGAGACTAATAATGAAAAAAATTATTTAAAATAAAACAGTCCAGAGGGCTATTGCTTTATTGTATAGAACAATAATCCAGAAGTCCAGTAGCCATATATAATTTAAACCAAATACCCAAAGAACACTTTTTGCCTGGAAGAAAGCTACAATTCTCATGTTTTTATCCAGTTTGTATGGGACTAAGAGAAAGCTATAAATAAATACACATGATGACAACTGATACATGATTTGCTCCCTAGACTCTAAATTATGCTGGCAGTTCCCAAAAAATAAGAAATACTTCAATAAAGTTTTTTTTTGTTGAGAGCTGAAGTACAAATTCACCATAAAAGTGCATGTGCACTTACCACATGCTGCAACTGTGCTGTGTACCTTTAGTGCTCTTTAGCAACTTCTTCCATTGTCTTCTCCTCAGAAACTGAAAATGGAAACAAAACACCAGTGAGAAACACTGGAAATTATTTATTCAGTGACAAATAGTCCAGTAAGTTGTTTCTCTTAGTCCAAAGGATCCCTTGGACTAAAGGGGTAGAATTTACTTTAAGCTGTATTAGGTATGCCAACATTATTCCTTTTAACTTTTAAATTCTAATTTTAAAAGAGTTTAGAGGCCAAACTTCTAAACTCCTACTTAAAATCTCCACAGTGATTATTTTAACTCACATTTTTCTTTGCATTCAATTACATCATTCAACTCCAATAGCAATATGAGATTGTTTATAGTTGCATCAAAGCACTGCAAGCTTTATTCAAACAACATGCACTATATTTTTCTTTACACCAATGCAATTTAAGAAAATTCTGTATTTCAGATCAAGACAGATGTTGAAAAAATGTGTTATATGCAGCAAAAGGAGAATTTGTTGGTCTTAATTGTTATAAGTACATATTATTGGCTTTTCACAAATATTAAAATTAATGTTGTATGTATAATGTTGGAAAACTTTGCTGTATTAATATAGTTTCTTTTATTTCTGCTATTGATGAAATATTGATGATATTAGTGGTGTGATACATACCCATATTTTTTAGGCTGTAGCATGGTATTAAAATAAAGACTGCTTTTGTTCATATGATGAAAATGAAAGGACAGTCAGAAACTCCCCCCTTGCATTCCTAGATTATCTTATCCATATGAAGACAGCAGTGGCCAGAGCTCCAAAGGAGGAATTTATTGAAGCTCTGTTATCGGGGAGTGTGAGACTCAATGGAGCCAAGAAGATTATCTATTGGGGAGGGGAAGTTGAAGCTAAACAAAGGAACATCTAAAACTCAAGTGGAATGTTTCAATCATGCATAAGAATTTATAAGAATATGCAAGAGATTGGTGTTTTTAAGGGACAGTCCATTGTTAATAAGGTGTGCTCTTGGCTGAATGCCGAGGCACCCAGCCGTACTTGTTAATTTTGCCTTATTTCTCTCTCCTAATTTTCTTTTTATTAAACTTTTTAAAATACACCAAAAATGTGAAGTTCACATAATGAAGTTCACATCCAGCCACTTGCTGAGCAGGACACTAAGCTCATCACACTGCTGTGATTAAATTTAGCAACCTACTTCTATTGCCCACCATATAATTTCAAAATGAGATTTTCTGCTAACACTGTGATGCCAAACACAGGCACCATGAGCAGCCACACACATCACTTGAGTTTTGCATGCTCTTGTAGCTGGTTCAGTGCACATAGCAGCCAGCACTTTACAGACACAAACATTTCAGACCAAATTGGACTCTTGCACCCTCTGAAGTTTGCCATGACTCCTCAGCATCAGTGTCCTGGCTCTTTGTGTCAGAAATCTCTAGAGCTGCTTAGGCTACTCCTTCCTTGTCACTGTCTAAGTTTTAGCATGGGAAGAAGAAGCTGCAACATCTAAGACTTTACTCACAGTTTCTGTGAATCAAATTAGAAAGAAAATTGTCTTCTCTTTCCATTCATCATCATAAATAAGGATGAGAAATCAAGGCTCACAAAGCATTAAGTAACTGCCCAACATATATGCTTGAAGTAGCTGAAGACAAAAGGATTTATCAGATGAATAAATTTTATAATGCAAACAAATCTTTGCAAATGGAATTCCAGGGAAAGTCTGCCTCTTTCCAGCCCTGGGGCAGAAACCTATAAACTGGAACAATTTTCATGTATTTAGACATAGGCAAATATTCTCTAATGTATATATTATCTCTTGCAGATACTGTTGCTTTGTTTTCTGATTTCTGTCAAATTCATAGGACATCTATACTCCTCAAAACCTTGGAAAGACATCACCTTGGAAAGACATCATGGGGAGTTTTTATGTAAAAATACTCTAGAATGAGGCTGAAGACTGAGGCTGCAATTCTATGATTGCCAACTAGCCATTTTTCAATACTCCTTTAAGTATAAAGGAATCTGTCACTATAAAAAGCCTGTAATAGGTAATATTTAGTAATAGGCAGTCTCTATACAGATACACTCTGCAGAAGGTTTGATAACCCAGGAGTTACATGTTAAATTTTACTTAAATTCTCTCTTCCCTTTTCTTCTACCCTTCCTGTCAGATGTCTTTAACTGCTCAGTAGGAGGTTTGTGTCTGACTTTCTTGTTTCATCCTATACTAAGCTATGTGTCTATTAAACACAACTAAGTAAACAGCTTCTTTAAAAGTTCAATAAATGCACCAAATAGAAATTTTATACAGCTAGCATCCCATACCTTTCCGTAGGATATGGGGTTATAATTGTTACACTGGCTAAGGTTTATGCTCACCGGAAGGCCCTGCGGGAAAGGCACGACTGCATGACGGAAAGTCAGTTGAGAGGGGAGTCAGTTAAGAGTGAGGAGGAACTCAGTTGAGCGACAGTTAAGATTGGCTGGAGGAACGTGTGAACAGCGTAGAGCAGATAGCTGATTGGATTGCAGAACTCACGGACAGTGTATGAACGGGAAGCTGATTGGATGGTAGAATGTGTGGACAGCAGCAGTGCAGCTTGAGGCAGCCAATGGGTGCCCTCTTTCTGTTAAGTTCTGTTAGGTCTCAGTTTGGTTTCAGTTATGTCTGGTAGAGATTAAAGGTATAAAAAGGGTGAGATTTCTACAATAAAGTGATCTCCTTCAGCTGCATAAGGGGGTCGGTGTTGCTTTGTTCCCCATTGCTACACCTTTCCCCAAATATCACCTTGCAGCTAGATAAATATACATTTATCTGAACACCTATTATTTCACTTTTCAGAATGCTTTCTGGATTTTGAAGAAGCAACAGAAAAATAAATGCTCAGGAATTGGCACTTTTGCCTTTATGAGGAAGAGCTATGCAATAGAAATAGTACTTTTGAAATTTGGCACTTTAGATATTTTACAGCAAGCAATACTTCATGCAATGCCAGATATTCACTATGGTAACAACCTGCTGGGTTTCAGTTTGTAGTATCATACATTTGGGTTATATTACCAAAAATTATTTCCATGGCTGATAGTATTTAATTATTTTTTTTTTCCTCATGAGTGTTTAAATTTCTTTTGCACTAAGAAAAGTAGATCAGTAGGCAACTAGAGGGAGCAACATGGACTTTTCTACTTTTTAACAAAACCTTATTTCCTTTGGATGGGAATTATGTTTGTCATCTACATGAATACCTACCTTGAAACCAAACATTAACCACTTGTACAGAAATGCTCAGCTGCTTTATTATCCTTATAGAATCCTAATAGAACAATACCACTTCTGCTCCTTAACATCTTTACTAAAACACCCACTTGCAGCATTCCTGCCAAATGGATCTCAGTCCAGTGATAATTTCATTCTAACCCATACAATTTAAAGCCTACCAAAAATTATTTCATTTCCCTTTATATCCACAAAAGTGGGGTCTACTGACCACTACCCACTTTCTTAATTCTCTGGGGGAAACTTCGCCCTGCATACACATATCCTTCATCAAAAGCACTGGAGTTAAATGGCTTCATAATTTCATAATTTTCCCACTTCATTTGGTGTGTTTGTTGTGCTTCCCCTCATCCTAGTAGGATATATTTCTCTATAGAATATATAGAATATTACTCTACAGTATACAGAAGGTATACTTCACAGTTTCATACAAGGTATTATACTGGTAGCAAAAATCTCAGCCTCTGTATATATTACTACCTATTTATTTTTTTTCTGAAAAGTTGATTTTTTTTTTTTCTTAAGCTTTTTCACTGGTTATTTGTAGATTTTCAGTTTTCTCCTGGGATAAGTAGCTGCATCCCAATATTGCTGGCTACAGCTTTCTTCAATTTGGCCAGAAATTGATATGTATCATTGCACTTACAGGTCTGAATTAGGAGCTTAGCTTTCCTTTGATTTCAACAAAAGACAATATAAAAGAGCTTCGAGCCTCAGAGGAATCAAACTAACCACATTTACTAACTGTTGTCAAAGGGCTTTGCATATTCCATCAACAGCTGTTGCCAAAGCACTCAGAAGAATTTGGAAATAACAGGGATTTTGAGGGCAAGCCATCCCCAAGGTTAGTCAGAGCCACAACGTATATCCACCACACAGTCAGTGTGTAACATCTGTGCAATATCCATTGCGGACATATAACAGGGAATCCCAACCAAAATGCTTCCTGTTCCTTCCCAGGATAGCTACAAGCACTCCCAGACTGCCCTTAGCTCCTCTGCTTTAGGAGATCACCATTTGGAGAAGAAATGCATCCTCCCAAACTGCGCTTGCAGGAACAGAACATGACTGGGCAACATTACACATGCACCTAACACAATACCAAACCATTTCTGTTGTGGAAACACATCTGGCTTGAGCTGAATGAATAAAGAAAATGGATTTTACAGACAAAATAAAATTGTGGATTTGTTTTGAAAGCTTGTGTTTAGTTCCAGTAGCTTATTAGCACAATACTCAACATTCCACCTAGAAATAATTTTTTTATGAAACTATCCATATAATTTCAGTGAAAAAATATCCATCAAAAACTGCTTCCTATGTAGAACAGTAATTCTGAAGTTTTTAAAGACAATTTTTACAAGTGCTGAACTTGCATCCCTGAGAGTGAGTGCAGAATATACACTTCTGTGCACTTACAGTAGAAAACAGTCCAAATACAGGGTGATTCTGCATGCACATGATGGTCAGTTTCAATTGTGCAAATATTCATGAGCTCAGCATTCCCCCAGCAGAACAGAGTGGCAAGATAAGGAGGGACTTGTGTGCCCTGTGTGACTGACTCATCTTTGCTGCAACTGATAGTAAAAAATAACATGCCCAGATTTACTTTCTCCTGCTAATAATAAAGGAAACCCCATGCATGTGCATTGACTTCCAGAACTCAGATCTTACTGCTTGCATAGCCTCTTTCCCCAAAGCCTTCAAGCCTTTAAAACAAGATTTCCAACTTTCCTGGGGCAGTTTTTTATGCAGAATCAGGCTGGAATTTGTCTGGGATGTAAAGATCTAGTGCAAAATTTGGCCAGCTCACACCTAGTAGAAAACATGCTATAGGATGACCTTGAAGCAAGGAAGTGGAAGAGATAGAAACGAATTTGTATATTATATTTTTTTAATCTTACTGGATTTTAAGCTTCTACCTTGTATTTTTAAGTGGTTTCCTAAGTATGTTTTCCTTATTACAGTAGAGATAAAGAAGACAGCTGTTCCAGATTTTAAAATTAAAGCTATATTCAGTCTCTTCCTTGCTTGGGGAGAGGTGGGGATTCCTTCCAGCAGGACAGAAGTTTTACACCAAGACCATACAAGATTACCCCAGCCTTCTCAGGAGTACAGCTTGTATTTCTTCCCTCAGTTTTGCACTTCCTTACCAACACATTTAAAACTAACATATTTTGATTCTAATCCTAATTCTTTTGGTTAATTTAAAAGTGATCTTTCCAGTTAGAAACAACAACAAAAAATTTTAAACAGGCATCGGTTGTACCAATGTATCTGAACAACTTAGGTCATGGTGTGCCCCACCCAAACAGTCTGTACAATTTCTTATCAGACCCTCTGAAATTCCTCAAGGTTGCTGAAACCTAAATTGTTCTAAAATAAGAAAGAAGCAGCTGAGAAGCAGGGAAACAGGACCACAGGAACCAGATAACAGAAGGCTATTGATCAGAAGTTACAAGCTCCTCCTGCATGTTGGTGACCCTAGTGATGCGATAAAAGTGCCATGATACGAAGCAGACCCAGACTCTTCGAACTCTGAAGGGGGGTCCTGTGGAGTGAAAAGGTGGGGGGCCTGGCCAGAGACTGCCACAGCTGGACCATGTCAGTGGGAGGCAAAGCACGGCTCCACATGCAGTGCGGGAGAGAGAGTGGCTCCAGGGAGAAAAAACTCCGGATAAATAGACGCTGCAGCGATACACCGGAAAAGGTGAGAGGCCAGGGCTGGAGAGAATGGGGAAGGCTGTCAAAATAAGAGCAGGCTACGCTAAACATCCTTCAGCATATACTCTCTAAGAGAGCAATTACATATGACCCAGAAATCTTAAAAGGACTGTTAACATTGGGTCAGGAGAGAGGTTTTTTGGTCATCCCCCAAGAATGATTTCAACATTCTCAAGTGGGAGAGGCTGGGAGGGTTCCTCTGGGATGCCGTGAACGATTGGTTAAAAGAAACCAAGGGACTTAGCACGGTGTGAAGTTGATGCTTACCGTGCTAAGGCAGTTAAAAGCAGAGAGAGAAGCACTGGGATTACCCATGGGATACCCCATAGTATCCTCTGAAGAGTTAATAGTAGCAGGTGAGACAAGCTTAGAAAAATTTAAGATTTTAGAGAAGTTGAGGCCTTAATTAAAAATAAGCCTTGTTAAATCTAATTAAAATAAATAGATGGGCCTTGTTAAAATTAAAGGTAGACAGAAAGGTTTTGCTAAAATCAGAGGTTAATCATTGGCTAATAACTGTCAACTTTATTCTTGTTCAGCTGGGTTTATAATGAGGAACAAAGAATCTGGTAAGGAATTTCAAGAACATAAGACAACTGCAAATCAGAAACTCATTGAAGACATGAAACTTCATGTTTCATGAAGCCCAGCCAAGGGTTCATTTGTCACTTTGCATTGAAAAGGTAGAAAGGTCAGGACGAGGAAGAGATATATTCCTTCCTCCCTTTTGTGACCACTCCTCAAAATAAGACCACCAACCCATTTCACATAATGAACTATGCATCCTTAATTGCTTTTTTCCTAATTAGCATGAGAAGCAGAGAATGGGTGGCAACTGAGTTATGAATATGCATTTGTATTCAACATTTCTGTAAATAAAAAGCCTGCATTCACCTGTATTCGGGGCTGTGTGTATTAAGGGGAGACCCAGCACTGGCCAAGCACTAGCCCAGAGCTGTTAAAAAACATATACTTTTTAACCCTAAAACGGTTAAAGAGTCTTTGTCCGTCTCAGTTGGATACTGATACTAGATCATATCCGTATTTTGGTAAATCACAGTGGGGCGAGTCTTCCCTTCTTCGCCTCTGCATGACTGTGGCAGGCATACAAATGCAGAGCGCAACTATTCAAGTGCAAACAGTTTGTGCTGCTTTAAGAAAGAGGAATGCAGGTGGCAGGAGAAGATACACTTAGTTGAACACAGAACTTTGATAAATCAACAAGTAAGGGAAAAGATGTGTTAGAACAAAGGGATGGTTTTTACTAAACCAATGACGCTAGTAAGATTAAATTCGCGATTGGAAGATTTACTGCTCTAAGTGATTGAGAACTCTGAAATTTGGATCTCTGTTGATGTTCGGCTTTTTGATCTTACTGTTGGGAAAGATGGGGTTGCGGCTGTTGTCCTTTGAATGTGCCGTGAAATTAACGAGATCTTGTCAAACTGCATTGCTAGCAGTTTTATCTTTAGAATTTCTCCTGCGCAACAGCAAGTGACTCCCACTTGACCCCCACTGCCGAGCTCACCCTCAGCCGCTTGTAATATTACATCGGAAGGGGCCGGAACCCTGCACTGAGAGGGGTGTCCGTGTCAAGCGCTCTTGCACTACTACTGAGCATGCTCTCATAGAACAAAATGGCGGCACCCGACAGGAAGGTGCCGTACAACAAAATGGCGAGGTCCTACAGGAGGTTGTCATTCAACAAGATGGCGTTCCCCAGTGCCGAGCATGCGCAGTGCTGCAGACGCCATTTTGTAACCATCGAGACTACCGACCTCCCACTACAGCGCCACCTTTGGCCACTTCTATTATTGCAAGGAAAAAGTAAGATAAAAAGTTCTGCGCCCTAACACAAGCAGAAGAAACAAATCTACAGAATGCAGCTCAACCATATCCAAAGAAAAAGCCAAATTTATTTCCTTCAGATACAAGAGACTTTTTGAACTGTAAATCAAGTGCTCATTCAGAAAAAGCAATCTTGCAAGTCCAACCAGCAGGAAGCCCAGAGGGCACATATACAGAAATAAGACAAGGGATATTTGAGCCATTCATTTTATCCATACATTGCCTCACACAAGCCATTGCTGAAGTGCAAACAGAAGCCACCAAAACATGCTTCAAATGTGGGAAGCCTGGACATATAAACAAATATTGCTCAGAGCCCACAAAAAAATATAAAGCAACCTAATCGTTATCTTATATGAAAAAAGGGAAGACAATATACAAATGAGTTCCAATCTAATTATGACATAGATGGAAATCTTTTACTGGGAAAAGTGTTTCCCACAGAGTAAAACCACTGCGTGAGATACAACTAATAGTACTGGAAACAATCTAAAATTTCTCCAAAGACATAACACTTGGGGAATTTTGACCAGATCCTAGTCATAAAATCATCAGCTGTTTCCCTTTTCCCTAACGATTCAGTTTTAGGGGTTACTAATAGTGAGCTTATAACCTCTGTTATTTTTGTTTTCTATAAGTAACACTGATAAATGATGACTGTTATTAATATGACATGAATATTTTAAAAATGTTTTAACTTCCTCAAACACTTGCTGTTGAAATATTGATTGTTTAATGTGAATTCACAGATTTTTGTAATAAGAATTATTTATATTGTTATAGTATTTACAACCAGGTTTTATATGCTTTACCATTTCTTTGTGTGATCGTCTACCAGACACGTGTCTCTTCAGGATCCTTTCCTTTTTGTCCTCTAGTTGCTTACATGTTCTTTTTTTATCCAGACTACTTCTCTAGCCTATTGTTTTAATGGAGTTCCCAGAAAAGATATCAAGAGCTTCATCAAAAACCTCTTCCAGACTGGTAGTTTTGTGGCTTCCTTCAGTTATTATTATAAAAGCACTCCAGCAGAGTCCAGCTGCAATATTAACTTATTTTCCTAAGTTTTATGCTGGATTTTTGAAGAAGAGGTTTGCTGTGTTTGAAGCATCTGTATCTTGAAGGAAACTTCAGAGGGATGCAAATACTAGATGGTTTAATTAATCTTTAACCCTAAGGTTTTATTCATAACTGCTAGTTTTATGAGCTTTGTTTTAAAATGTGTTAAGTGACGTTCACCAATTAGGGTTTGGGCTGTGGCCAGGCCCTAGCTCTACATGGATGGGAAAATTGCCAACAAACCCAGACATTTCTGAATCAAAAGTAGATTCAAGTAATTTTGGCTTAGGAATTTGACTGTATTAATATGACAGCTGAACCTACTTTTAAAGTGAGCTTGGATAATTGTTATCTGGACATAATTTTCCAATTCTCTACTGATCTTAGGTTTATCAGTTGTTGCAGACTCTGGGACAACAGTTTAGTATTATAGTGCTTACTAATTATATAATTCCGCATGTGTTATTGATTGTGTGTATTATTATTCGATTAATTCTTAATTGCTGTCAATTTCTTTTTCACTACATGTATTGTTTTACTCTGATGTGGCTTACTTGGGCTAATGCTACTGGAGTGGATTCCTTTTGTTTATCTTTAGCCATGCCAGGAGATCCTTTTTTCACATGTTTAATTGGTATTGCAATTGTCGAGATGAAAAACGAGGAATGGGACCACTGTGCTATTTAAGGTGATTTATTGCTCAAGTAAACCAGATAAGGTATTTGTCTCGAAGACGTGAGATTTGGATAGAAGCAAAAAGTCAGCCACAGCTCAAGATAGTCACGGGTTTCTTCTTCAAACAGCAATATGTAACATTTTGGTCCAATAGACTGTTAACACAAAACTTATTTCTACTCATTCACCTATCATCTTTGGCTAGTTCTGCTGCACTGCATCTATCTTTTAGCCAATGAACGGATAGGTCATGTACCCATGACCTCTATTGTAGCTTCCACACCCCTAGCCTACTCTATAAGGCACATTATTACAGCTCAAACCTCTCACAATTTTACCTAATATAATTTCTCACTCACTCAAGGCATATTCCTACTTACAATCATAGGAAAACAAGTTTATAATTTTTCCACCTTATGTTTGTGTACCTTTATCATTACATTAACCCAAGCTCTTTCCAAGGCTGCAGATTGAACACTTCAGCATCTGTGGAGGTTTCTATTTTTCCATTTCCCACACCAGTAAGTAACTTTACTGGTTTTGCAAAATGGATAGGAGTTAGAGGAAAGCCAAATATGGGAGCAAATAAATCAAGTGCGGAGAATCACTGGTGTAACATAACTAGAGATGGTACAAAATTTGACATGTGCAAAAAGTTGAGGATTAGGTCAAATGGCAAGGAATTTCAAGCAGGTATGATAGCACAATCACTGAATGAAAGTGGATTAGAATCTCAAGAACTAGATCTGTTAGGATTGATGCCTGGAAATTACTGTTTGTTAAGTACTTTCTGAATCCAAAATCAACTAACATGAGCAACATGTCTCACAGCCCAAAAATAATAGTGTCATTCTTAATCCCAATTCTCCATGGTATAAGAACGTGACTAAATGTTGCCACAATTGGACTTACCCTGAGTCCTGCTACAAATGCAAGCTTCCACCAAATATCTTTCTAATCTGTGGGAATAGGGCATGGTCCTCAATTCCGAGTAATTCACTTGGTAGATCTTGTTATTTAGGGAAACTGACCATGTTTGCCCCTAGCATGTGCAAGATACCAAATCAAACGGTTTAGAGAGTGAGACATAGCAAGAAAGCTATGAAAGCAATCACAAGCTTAAGATCTAACTGTAACAATAACATAGTTTGAGACACTCCAGCATGAATAATAGCATAATTCCTTACTCCAAGTGTTAATGCTGCTCAAGCTTTACGCTTAGTAAGTTAAGATGCTAGACAGTCAAGCACTTAAACATAACTTCAGATGTTTTAAATCAAATGCTTACTGATGTAGATGGTATAAGACACGACACACTGCAAAAGAGAATTGCTATGGATGTTTTGCTGTTAGCACATAGACATGGATGTAGAGATTTTGAAGGAATGTGTTGTATGAATCTCTCTAGGGAGCTCTGTTATTACTAGTAGTCACTATTATATTGCTTTGTCCTATTCCATGCATCATAAAATTGGTGGCCTGCTTGGTTGAAAATGCAGTAAAGAGAGTTTGGCTGGTGCAAGAAGAAAAAGGTGGAAATGTAGCTATGTATCTGAACAACTTAGGTCATGGTGTGCCCCAGCCCTAATTTCTTATCAGACCCTCTGAAATTCCTCAAGGTTGCTGAAACCTAAATTGTTCTAAAATAAGAAAGAAGCAGCTGAGAAGCAGGGAAACAGGACCACAGGAACCAGATAACAGAAGGCTATCCTGGACTGTAACCAAATCACAAAACCTGAGGAGTGTGTGCTCAGCACATGGACAGTATAGAGGCACCAATCAAGTAGCGTGTGATCACGTGAACAGTAGTTTTAGAATCTATAAACAAGTGTATAATGTAAACAATAAGGGGCTTCTGTGAAATCATATTGGTTCATTGATCAGAAGTTAGATGAGGCTGGTATCTCTAATGCCAAACAACAGGTTCAATTACTTTAAAAATATTCTTTGCAGAAGAATCTGGTTTTGTAAAGCTAAAATAATACAAGTTAGCCAGCTTCATACAAATGGAATACAGCTTCATACAAATGGAATCCACCTGGAGCACACAAACCAAAGCTGGAGTACAAAACAAGGCTTTGCTATTTCAAGCTGCCTATAATATAACCAATGTCACACACTAATTCCAAAGGGAGGGAAGTCAAATTTAATTGTGAAATTAGAAACAGTGTTTTATTTACAGTCTTTTAGAGACCATCTTATGATATGATGCTTTTCTTACAGAAAGCTTCCTCAGTCAGGTCCATTGAAAGTCTCAGGATGTCCCCTGAAATGTTAAGATAAGCAGAGCAAAATATTCCCAGATCCTTTTCATAGTTTAAAGACCTGCTAATGGAAAACTAGCAGTGGAGTAGAACTGACCTTTAAAAAGGTCAATTTCTGTCATGTTAGAAAAGTAATTCTAGAATTTATTTGAGAAAACATGCAAAATAGAGCACAAGAAGTAGGGGTACTTGGGTAACTGAGATCTAACCTAGGGGAGAAGACAGCAGTAGCAGCAAGAAACTGATTCCCTTTAAGAGCAACTTCACATATTTTGGTTCCATCAGCCTTAGGGAACTGGAAAGGGAAATTCCAAATCCTGAGATGGTGATGACAGCTAAGGTTCCCTTCCATGTTTTCACCAGAAGCCACCTGTGACCCCAGGCATGGATGGCTTGGGTTCCACACCTCCTCCCTCTGTTCATGAGGGCTCAAACCACATCAGTAGAAACAGGGGGAATAGTAATCACTGAGGTAGTTTGGGACAAATCAGGCAAAGCTGTGTAGCTGTCCCTGTAACATGACCAAGTGCTTCAGGTGCAAGTGGTCAGGAAGATCCAGGGAGCTCAGGATGGAGGGCTTGCAGATACCCACCAGGCTTGCAGATTCCCATCACCAGGAATGTCACTCAGGACCATCTGAAATCCTCTCTCTCACTTCTCTGGCATTTTATTCAGTGAACATTTAGGATTCCAACCAGCTAGAGCAAGTTACTCAGCTTACTGCTTGGAAAGGAAAAACATTTTGGGCTTAAAGCCCTAAACATTTGGCTTAAAAAGGAAAAAGGGTACAGGGCAATTGACCACAGACTAATGCCTCTCTGCAATACTGTGAAATCAGCACTTGAGCTCCACACAGGAATAAACAAAACTTTTTAGTTCTAAACACAGTCAAGGAAACAACAATTACTTAGAAAAATACTGATTATTTTTGTTATAAATCTATATTGTGATATTGGCTTTCGCAAGTATTAAGATGAATATTATATGTTAAATACTTTTTGGCTATGTATGTACTTTTTTCTTGCTAACAAGTTTTAAGCTTAAAGGAATCTCCTAGGTACAAAGCAAGGAAACCCCAGAGGGCAAAGACAGTGGGGCCCAAGCTGTTATCAGGAGAACAATAGAGCCCAAACTGTTATCAGCAGAAGATATGAAGTCCAGCTGCCCTCGAAGGATGAGGGGCCCGGACTGTTATCAACACTGACCATTTGCAGAAGAAAGGAAACCAGACTCAAAATAATGGTGGTCAGCAAAAATAATGATGACCAGCAGAAATAGTGATTGTCAGCAAAAATAAAAACTATACAAATCATGTTCTAAATAGGTAGAACCAGGGAGGGGACATGCTAAATACTTGTTGAAAAAGTTTGAATATGCATTAAACCCTCAAAGCAGGAGGGGATAAAAAGAGTGTTCCTGAGATACCAGGTGTGCTCTTGGCAGCGCACCAAGGCACCTAACCCTAACCGTTTTAACCCTTTGCTTTATTTCTTTTGTCTCTAATTGTCTTTTTGTTTATATTAAACTTTTTATAATTTATTAAGTGAATCTCGTTTTTAATATTTTTCACTCTGATCATTCCTATCCTTGAACACACAGGCTAGAAACTAGTGTCTGGCAACTGATGAATTGTTTGTGGAACTGCCCTGGCCTGATTGTGCTGTTACTTGGATGCGACATGAAGGTGGCCTCAACCTCAGCCCTCCCTCACTAGAGACAATGGGCATCAGAAGTTTAGTCCCTCTGGCATTGCAGCTATTCCACAGGATGAACATGAACCAAAGGCTCAGAGCTCAAAGTCTTTGATGAAAAAAGGAAAGCTGGGACTTCTAATAAATCTTCTACTTCTTTTCCTTTTTGCAAGCCATCCACAAGCAATCCAGATAAAAATCCATGAGGTGCAACTGAAAGCCTAGGCCATGGCATTATGAAGCACATTATTAAGATTAAAAGTTTTCATCACTCCATACAGAAAGAGAAACATTCAATCAGCCAAGCACATCACAGGTTGTTTGTGCCTGATGTAGGTCACTAGTTCCCAAGAAAAGCCTCATTAGTTCATACTGATGACCAGAAGACTCCCTTGAAGAGAGTTTATTCTACAATTAATGATTAAAAAAAGATTCAGAAATGCCTATAATGTTCACAATAAAAGCATAACAGTGCATGTCACATTAATCCAGAATAGTTTATAATATCTCATAAAATTTCAAGAATACTGTTTTATATTCTGTGGCACAGAATTGTAGCAATGAGAAGTAACTCACCTTATTTGTTTGTTTTAAACATAGAACAGTCTTTAGTTACTGATGGGAATGGATCACAAGGAAAACTAGCACAAGTTTATATAAACTGCGCATATGCAAACACCCTAATAATTTGATGTATTAAATCCTTCACGATTATCCTGTATTAAATCCTTCAGGAGTTCTAAAAAAACTTCTAATTAATTCTAATTTCTTTAACATTCCTCATACAAAGTAATGCACCAAGTTTTATCCACTAACATGGTTTTTAAAGGAGCAAAGTTGTTGTTGAAAAGGATATTTTTCTCTGCTATAAGAAACACTGCCCAAAAATTAACATCAAAATCCCCATTGTTCCCATTCTGGTTTGAACTGCCACCACAGGAAAAGAGCAAGGGGTGTCCATTGCCGTCTTTTCTCTAAAGTAGGAGACTAACAGTATTCCTGTGGTTGTTGTATTTATAGGAAAATTTCAAACACAAGTAATACTATGTACAGTAAATTAAATGCTAACAGATTTTGTTGTCCAAAGTGAGTTGTTGCTCTCCAATACATGCAGGTACTTTAAGATTCTTTTTAAGTCTTGACAATGAGCCATTAATACTAGTAAAAGGAGTACATCTATCTTCTCCTTAATAGTGACATTCATTTAGGCATTATTATTCACTGTATGTCCTTCTACCAGCTTTAGTATATTTTGAGAAGCTACTTGTCCCCATGTTCTAGAATAGACAAATAGGAAGATGGTTATTTTAGGCAGTTCTCCCCCACTTATTTGTCTGCACTCTTAGCTGGGAACTTCTAGAGTTTTTTTCCATTTTACCAAAATCTTCCTCCTCAGCCCAGTGCATGCTGTAAAATTCTCTTTTTGGCTAAGCTGATTAAAACTGAACAGTCTCTCCATGTACTAACTGGGGTCTTCGGATGCTCAGAATTTTTACAGAATTTTTTTTCTAAATATTGTTCATTTTCTTCCAAAAGCGATTTTCCAGTTATGCTATGATGACTCATCTAAACCTAAACAGCTTTATGAAGGAAAACCAGGAGGATGAAGAAGAGATTAGTGGCCAGTGTATGGCAATCGGAGAGATATAAGATAAGTGCAGCTGTCCAAGAGACAGATAAAAGAAAGTGATAAACATGAAACAGAAATACCAAACAGAAGTTCCAGATACAGATACTCCCCCAATAGGATAATATTTACATAATACAACTTCTTAGGGCCTAATTTAGCTAGATCTGTCTATCATAATCAATAAAGAGAAAAAAGTCCTCATTCTTCCATCTCACACAAATAGATGCCTAGAAGGATGTGCTTGTTCTACTGAGCAACATCATTCTGAAAGCCTCTGAATAAGTATGAGCAATTGCAAATCACTCTGAGGACTCTTCAGTAATTTCTAAGTACTAACAGTGTCAGCACACCCAGAATTTGGTAACTTACCAAGCCAAGCCAGCGTGCACTGATTATATCAGGTGCTTTTGTCTGCTTGGCATCACTGGATGATGGGATCAGCAAAAGTCCTGTCCCAAAAGCAGCAATTCCTGTCCAGAGGAATTTGTTTTTCTAGGCTGCAGGCAACTGGCATTGTAGTGCGTTTGAAGCTTAGCATGGAAAACACTGCCACATTCACACACTAATCCTCCCCAAACCCAGTCACTCACTCAAATAGCCTTGGAAATAACAGAGAAGAGACCATGCCCTTCAATACTTTCAAAATTAGAAAAAACCCTATGCTAGAGAAGTCAGGAAGAAGTCTGGAAAAGCAGTTTGGGTTTAATTGCTTCTGTTATTTCAGTTGATAATGCCAAAACCTCAAGCCTCAATACCAGAGTTGGAGAAGAGTTTATGGTGGCAACCCAAACACCAGAACTCACAGATACAACAACTTTGCCTACTCCAAATAGCAGTTTGCCAATCTGTGAATTTTACAGCATATTTGGTTTGTCAGAAGGCTTAATTTATGGCCCCAGACACAGAGTACACTAGAAGAACAACAGGAATTTAACCAGCATCAGGCAGCAATCAAGGGTGACAGCTCAAGCAATAAAAAGGTAGAGAAAATTAGAAGTTAGATAAAGTTAAAACCTTGGGAACAGAGTAACAGAGTTCAGTACTTATTTTGGCAACAGTATTTCACAGAATTCCGGATACCAGCAGTAGATTGTAAATTGCTTGAGGTAAGGAGAACATTCCAGTCAAGTACAATTGTTAACTTTCTGAAATGGGCTGGGTTTGGGTTTTTGTTTGTTTGTTTGTTTGTTTGATATCTGTTTTGGTTTGGGTGGGGAGGTTTTTGCACATCCATGTATAATCATACATTTCCATTATTTGTATACAAGAGTTGGAGACAAGCATCCCTTCATAGCTTGCACTTCTAAACATCAGGGAAAGCCTTATAGATTAAAAGAAATAACAGCATTTGAAAAAGCAGAAGTTCACCAATAACAATACAAATACTTACACCTTCATCTGCAGAAGTAACACCAAGTTTCCAACAAAACTAGTAAAAGCTATTCAAATACATACTTTTATCCAAAGTTCTGATAGAAAAATCCTTCTCTACCTCAGAAAAAGTGGAGCTATGCTATTTTTCCCTCTAAATGGGGATAACATGAATAATAAAGATGGTTAAATCCAAAACTGATTTATATCCAGAAGGATTTTAATTAGAATTTTTTTTTTAAACACAATAGCTGTTGGCTGCAAGTAGACACTGAACAAAATGGTACAGAGAACTTTTGAAACAAACCTCCATCTTCTTGTGAGCATGATGCCAATGGAAACTAGTTTTTACATGGCCTAGAGGGAAGGGATGCTGGTTTACCCCGTGTGTCAGACCATGTGCTGCTGGTGCCCTTCCTTCCCGTGGTCAGGAGCTCAAGGGAAGAATTGCTCAGGGGGCCACGCTGTTCTTCTGCAGGAAGGACCAGGATAAGGAGAGCTGGTTGAGGGAGAAGGGAGTGCTAAGGAGACCTGGCGCAGGAGCCTCGCAGGCCAGGACTTTTGGTTACATTGGGTATAACCCCATGTGAACCATGGGACACTTATGCTCAGAAGCAAGTGAGAACATCCAAGAACACCCAAGAGATGAGGCAAGGAGAACATCCCTTGCTTCAATTTCTTCACAATTTTACATCCCAAAGGTTTGTTTCTGCTAGCTTTACCTCCCAGACAAGAATAACCACTGCAGCAAGATTTGGTAGAGGGCACCCGGGAAGACCCTCAGACTCCCTTACATCTTTCAGTGTAACAGAAGTCTGGTTCTAGTGCTGTTTTCCTCAGAGAAAACAGAAATACTAGATCTTAGAAATCAGTAATTTCTAAAGAGCTCCTCCACTTCCAGATAACACCAGCAGGAACTAAAAGTCACAAGCCATATTTCTTCTTATCAAATAGTGATCACTAAGTACATGACTTACATACTTAAATATGTCCAGAATGAAATCCTCAGACTTAATCACAGAATCATCACAGAAAGATTTGCATTGGAAGGGACCTTAAAGACCTTCTCATTCCAGCCCCCTGCCATGGGCAGAGACACCTTCCTTCCACTAGACCAGGATGTTTACAGCCCCATGCAACCTGGCCTTGAACACTTCCAGGAATGGGGCATCCACAGCTGCTGTGGGAAACTGTTCCAATGGCTTACCACCCTCACAGAAAAGAATTTCTTCCTGATACCTAATCAATTTATGTACCATGTTTCTCAGGGAAGATCCTAGCTTCCTTTTCGCAGGAAAGAGCCTCTTCAATAAAATGGCAGAAATATTTACCATACAGAAGATACTACCTTACCCAGCAATTAACAGTTATTTGTAGATAAGCATTGTTAAAGGAATACACAACCACTTCCAGACACAAACAAGTGGTTATGAAATTAAAGGGAAATTTTGCAATTGCTTCGTTGAGCAAGAGATGCTGCAAGACATTTTTAAACATATCTCTTAATGACTCTAATTCAGCAAATTTAAATTAAAGTTGTTTAACATACAACAGATTACTTCCTTTCTAAATGAAGTGGTCTAAATATTCCACAGAAATGGAAATTTTTAGGGCTCTAGGTATTTTAACTACTACCTTATAAATATTTCTATATATAAGCAGTAATAATCACTACCAAGGTATTTACTTCTACTTTATATAAACTGTATTACAGCAGATCAAACTAAGTATTGCTTTAAAATATTTTTTGTAGTAGTTTATTTCAGAGACAAACACAGGAACTATTCACATTCAAATTAAAATTACATTCATACCTAGAACTTTCATAAAACTCAGCAATTAGAAGTGCTGCACTATTTCTCAAGTTTATTTGTTAAAAAGGCAATCAAGATGCATCCATTTCTCATTGGAATCACCAAGGAAAAAAGTGAAAATAATTCAGAATCTGGTAACACCTTTGACAGTACTATGATAAATGCCCATAGATTAGCAGTCAAAATACTTTTAATCTCAGTTTGATCTGTGTTTTGGACATATCCCTTCAAGAATAATGGTAAAAAAAAATTAAGGAAAAACTTAAAAATCTGCCAAATTAAGTTATAATCCTGTATCTTGCGCATTTTGTGGATGGTTTTGCATTTGTCTTATTGCAATTTTTTAAAAAGCACAATAAACAAAACTATTTCAAACACCCTGGCAGCTCAATATACTCAATGTTTTGCCACTTATCAACTTCAGTGTTTAACAACAATTTGATGTTGTATTGTGTTGTGAAAATTTAGCCTAATATATGCTTAAAATTGAGACGATGACAGCATTTTCTTTGCCACTCAACATCCCGTTTAAGTTACACTGATAGAACAGATATAATTATTCAGTGTGAATATCCTTGGAATGGTTAGTGAACTAAAGTGTTTAGATTCCTTAGATTCCTTGAGAACTAGATTACTGAAACACCTGTTTAACTGACCACACTATATGCTCAACTTAATATATTAAGAAATAGGATGGGGTAGTAATATAAGCATTTGAATCGTTTTAGACAGTAACTCTGGTGCCAGAGGCAGAATGCTTTCAGAGACACTGATTCAACAAACTTAATTACCTTATGCTCATGATATGTCAAATTAATGCCTGGATTAGTTTTCACTGCAGGACAAACTCCATTAGGAACACTGCTGCTCATTCTTAATGCTCTGTAAGAGGAAAAGCTTTAGAACCCACAACACACACACTCAAAAACCACATTCATAAATTAACCTTCAACTGCAGCAGCTTCTGAATTAGCAGCAAGTTCCAAATTAGCAGCAGCTTCCGAATTAGCAGCAGCTTCCTGCTGTGCTTCCTCCATAGCATGGGATACCTCTGGAGCCAGTAAGTCATTTTCCCCTTTAGCTTCTGCGGATACCCTGGAAGTCTCATCCTGTGCTGTGGGTCCAGCACTCTCATCCTGTGCTGAAGGTTCAACAGCAGCTGCTGTATCAGCCTCTTCCTCAGCCTCTGCTTCAGTGACTTCATCTGTCTCTTCTCCATCACCTTCTAAGGATTTATTCAATACAATAAAGAAAGTAAAATGCATGGATACAACAAAAATTTCACCAACTACTTTTTATTATAATCCTCATTTAAATTTAAAGTGGGAAGCTAAGACTCAGAATTAACAGGGATCAGAATAAACAATAAAAAAGGATCAATAATTAATCCCTCATATTGTCTAATGTGGCATCAAAAAACTATGTTTACAAGATGAGGAAACCATATTCTTAATTACTGAGTTTCATAACATGTTTCAGTGTGCTAAGAAAAGAAACTGTGGCTTAAAGCAAGTGTTGGGGGTGCAGGGAAGAATAACAAAGGACCTTGCCAAGTGTTGCTTCAAACCACTCTGCTGAAAGGGCCAGTGATGGTATACACACAGGTGCCAGAGGGACCATGACTCTGTGGAATTACCATATGGGGAATAAGACATTTGGTCTTATATAGAGTAAGAAAAGAACTTCCTAATTTTTAGTCAGAGCTCACTTTCTTAGAGACATGACCACTTATGACTATTTTCTTTTTACAACTCACAACTCTCTTTTAAAGACTTGTGTACACCACTGTGAGTCCGACTCCTTAGAACCTTGAACAACAGTGTTTCCCAGTCATGCATCACTTCAAATTCAGCTGAGACGAGTTATGAAAAACTAACAGCACAAAGCAACAAAGATGCTCAACTGCCATGCAAATACGTACTAACATCAAGTTCACAAAGGAAAAGTTATACATCAACTGTTCATCACAAGCTCACCGCTAGAACCAACTCACCATATGAAATAATGGAACTGAAAACAGAGTTTGTAATACAGTGTAAACTATGTGAGAATTGAAACAAAAGAGCTTAAAGAGACATAGTCAGAGTTTGTTCGATTCTTTTGTATCTGTTTAAAAGCTAAACAGATCAGTTTTATTTCTTGGGCCTCTTATGCCAGTGAAAGCCTATCATTTTGTGTTCAGGCTTTAAGACAAGTCCATTCATTGCCCAGTAAAAATCAAAACTTTGCATTATGCAACCTGATCATGTCCCTTTAAGAAAACACTGTTAAAAAACCCCTAAATTCATTACACAAAGAACAGACTAACAGCCAAGCTCAGCATTCAGTACACTTCATTATAGACAGTCAAATATAGAGTGCATTACTTCAGAACAGCCAGCTTCTCCATCTCAGAACTGCCTTCTACAAAGCAGATTCAGTAATAAGCTCAGTATGGTTTGGCCTTGCAAACATAGGTAGTTCTTTTAAAGTCTTACACAAATGGAGTTTTACAATAGAAGGTATAAAGTCATCCCAAGGTAGGCTGCAATGTACTCAATGGTGAACGACTGTCCTTTGTTTGTATTTAACTTCCACAGGTTTGGAAAGAGTTTTCCCTTGTGTCTGGAAAGTGTAAAAGCAGAGTGTATATTAGAAAGTCCAGAAAGTGTAAAGGAAGAGTATAGATTAGAAAGACTGAATCAGCTTGCAACGAGTTAAAAAGTAAGGTCATAGCTAAAAAAGAGGGAAATCAGGAACAAGCTTAAAGGACACAAACAACAAATGGAAGGCAAAACTCAGTATTCACTAAATAAGCAAACAGAACATCCTGCAAGCCAAACATCATTTTACATTTCAAATTATGTCCCAGATTTTCTACTGCTACTTTGAGTCAGGCTTCTTCCACGGGCTTTTTAAATACCTCCGTAATTTGAGAGTAGCTTTCAGTTAACAGGAGCCACAGAAAATTTGCTATCAGATCTCTTTCTAAATGTCTGTTATCATTGATTAATTAATGTTATTAATTATTATTAATGGTTATTAATTATTAATTAATTAATATTAAATATAATTTCAATCCTCTAATAAACAAAGAACCCTAGAATGATTGTTTCTCTTGTTTTGACAGACTTGTTTGCAGAACTTGTACAGTTCTCTACTTTAGACATTTTGGGTTCAGGCATAAGGGGAGAATTTTCCCCCACAAGAGAAACTATAAAAATCCTATCAAAAGAATCTCTGATCAGCTGCTCTCCAGTATTATGTTCTTCCACCTAGAAAGTTCTTCTACCATAGACAGCAAATATGCCATGAACATGCTGCTTGGCATACTGCTGTTCTATCTACCACTTCATATGGTTACAACCTCGGTTTTAGAACTTATTTTAAGCTTGATTTAATGTGCCCCTAAAAAATCTGAACACTTTGAGAACAGAATTTTTAACTGCTCTTATCAGCAATGTGAAAAAGTCTAAGGACTGACTCTAAAGAATGCACAGGGAAATAAACTGCAATGGCACTTCTGGAAAAAGCAGTACTATGCTAACACTCTGTGACAAGATAAACACAGAAGTATGACTATGCAGGGAATGGGAGAAAAAGGGGAGGAAGAGCGGTGTTAACTCTTTTGAGAATGCACACAGAGGATTCTGTAGGAAAAATAAGAACACAACTGATTATTGAATTTGGACTGAACAAGAAAATTAATGCAACATTCTTAATGTTCTGCTCTTGTGGGTGTACACAGCTGGGAATGAAGAAGGATTCTGAAAGGAGCTGATTCAATGGTGGTTTTGTATTGTGAATTGGAATTAGCTACTCAGAAGTACAACTAAAAATCTGGGCTAAGCATTTATTCAGAAGTCAAATATTGAAAATAATATAGAAAACGAGTTTCAACTGTATTCACTAAATGGCCTTAGAAACATTTTTGAGTTCTTATTATCAATAAAAAGTGAGGCAGCAATCATCTGCCACTGGTTGTGACATTTATGTGACTTATTAATCAGCACAAAGCAGCAGATGATGGAATGTCTGGAGAGTACCAAAAATCAACTACTGAACACTCAGTACTACAAGTATTTCACTCCAGCCTGTGGGTAGGCTAGGGCCAAAACTCTATACCTTGCAGAAGTGCACCTTAAAAGAAAAAGAGGGAATACACTGACATCACTGGGAATATGTTGTAAGGTTTGCTTAATGCTTCCCTGTTCTCCCAAATATGGCATTCAGAAAGTAATGAGGGTAATCCTCACTTCTGCCCTGAACAGCAGGAGACCTGGTCCCTAGAAAAGATCTGCTTTGGTCCTGGTTACATTTTTTATTTTAAGGACAATGAAGGATTGCAAATTGTGGCTGAATTCTCAGCATTTACTTAAACAATTGAGTTTTAAAACTATACTGTGTTCAGCTTTTTCTTTTTTGTTTTTTTGGAAATTATGGTATTTGACTACTTTAAATCTTAAGATCTGTAATTTTAAAGTTCTGAAACTAAAGCATATGTTGTAGAAGTTCAAGGCTAATGAATTCTAAAGAAATAATTATAGTGGCAGAGAATTTAAACCATGTTCTCACACTGAAAACAAAATTTAAACTCAAGATACTTTATTAAAATATATTCTTTGTGTGCATGCAAATATATTAAATTAATTCCCTAGATATCAACATTTAAAAGAAAATGAAGAGTTTCAAGTGCTCTGGCTAGCTTCAATACTTTATTTTTTCTTTTAAATAACAATCAAATAAAAATATATAAAGATCCTTAAAAAAAAATTCCTAATTGCTTTTCTTGACAAGTCCACGCTTGCCAAAGTTCTACCTTTTATATTAGTGCTATAACACTAATTGATGTAAACAGGGACAACATTCCATTACAAGTAACTGAACTAAGATGGTCTAATTATTCAAGCATGAAGAGCTAAGTAAAGATTTGCTATACATTTAGGTAATGCCTGCAATTCATTTAACTCCAAATTAGAAAAGACAAAATCAAAGTTGTAGGACAAAAAATTGATCCAAGTTAAAACATTTTTTATAAATGTAGGATTTTTTTCCCTATTGAACTGTATTTCCTGATGGTATGTGGCCTGAAGCCAACCTGTTGACTGAGAAAAAGATATTATCTTCTCCCCCACCACTGAAAACAAATGAACAAAACTGTTTTTGACAGCATTATATACTCAGTCAAGTTTCATTAAGCTTCCAGTAAATCAAATACCCATTATACAATTAATAGTATTCACACATCAACTCTTTCCATACGAAGAGACTCTACAGGTGGATCAAAGACCAGATTCACTGTCTGAACATGAAGGCCACTACCAAAACTTGTGCAGCAGCAGCTTTGTAACAGAACACTCCACAGTCACCTTTGCCTTCACTCACACAGTTCAGACAAGAACTTGGACAGTGCTAAAGCCTGATTAGACAATCCAGAAATCTGTTCCAAATCCTCATGTACCCAGGGAACAAGAGAGAAGAGCTCAACTCACCCTTCCTTGACCAAGGATTGTTCTTCTGCCCCTCTGCTCTCTCATGAAGAATATTTGTATGTTTGATAAACTTGCTGTGGGATGAATTGACTACTCTGTAGGCCTGAAAGGGAATTATACCTGAATTTACAGCTACATCCCTATAAATTTATGAAACACAAAGAGGGGACAGGGAGAGAAAGGATTTTAAGAAAGTGCTACTGCCCATCTTAAAATGCATATAAAATTTATCCTAAGCAAGGTTTAAAAAAATTATCAACCTGCTATACTAATATATTTATGTATTTAATATTTCTCCATTGTTAGAAAGCAAATACAATATACCATGCAGCTTTTGAAGTGCTTCAGTGTTTCAGGAATTGAAAACAGTGTTTTAAAAGATAATTACATTAAGATTACTCTTTTTGTAATGTGGTAAAAATATAACAAGAGAATATGTCAGTCATCCAGAAATGCAATCATAAATGTTTGATATTTTGAACTAATAGCTACTTACCATTCAAGGGGATTACTCTGTGGGACAAGGAAATATGTACCTCTCTGGGGTATGTTAGTCATTATCTCAGATCTTGGGGGAGAGGGGTAGAAGTAAGCTATAAAATGGAGGATTTAGGGAGGTGAAGCACAGAATCAGATATATTTAGAAGCAGGAAAGAGAATGGTTACTGAAAAGCTTGACAAAAACAGATGCTTACGAAACTTTAACATGCTTTCTTGAAGTAACTAATGTTCTTATCTTCTTTTTTTGTGCCCAAATTAACAAGGTTCATATTTTCCCCTTGCAGCTTCAGACCACTTATTTCACATCTGCCTTGCCCACTTTGAGATATTGCTAATGTTTCTGGTTGACAATACAAGGCAAGGGGTTAGAGACAGGTGCCTTACTCCATCTTTGGACACATTCATTTCACACAGTTTTAAATATGCTTTCCCCTACGAATGACCCAGCACTACTTATCAAAGTAACGTTAAAACAGGCAATCAATAGGTTTTCAGCTTTACTAAATTCTCTTAATCTGATTTCTAGGATAGGCTGCACTTATATCTACATTAATTGACGCTTTTCATCTTGACCATACTCTTTAACCCAGAACACACCTTATACTGTGCCAGCTCAGAAAGCACAAACAGCTCCATCCCCAAACACTTACATAAAATAAACCACCAAAAGCTGCAACACCAGCAAGGAGATAGATCGTCATCCTGTCTCCAGAAGAGCCAGGAACACTCCCAGATGACATCTGGCGAGGAGGTGCTATAAAAACCATCAGATAAATTGATGTAAAGTGCTGCTAAAATATGATCACAAAAAAAGAATGATGGAATCTGAATTCTGTATAGGAAAGAATTATTCAAAAAGGTTATAAAACAGAGAGGTATAGCTTATTGAGGTATCCTGTGACTGACTTACACAGGATGTGGTGCTCAAAAGAACAAGGTCAATGGCTGAACTCTTCCTAAGAGGTGTTTTTCTTTGAACTACATTATCTGCCATCAGCTTCCAAGTACTGGGCACAGTCTACATAGACTAAGGAATGTTAATAATAAAAAAAAGGAATGTAAAAGAGTTCCTAAGATAGATAAAATAATTTATCTGTCCTTACTGTTTATGATCAGCAGAAGTAATTAACTCTCTCTTCAGTTTAATAACAGGGAATTTTTAAAGATGCTTTTTTGTTTGAATTAATTTATTTTCACTCCCAGACTACTGACACTTGGATACACACCCTTCACCTCATAAATTAGCCAACAGGGCAGAGAGGTAGGATTACACAAATTTTTACCTGACTGGGTACATATTAACTCTAACATCAGTGCTACCCAATTTTTTGTTATAAACTGATTTTTACTACGGTTTTGGATTCATCTGAACATCTCAAAAAGAGACCCATGAAAAACACTCGTAATTCTCTTGGTCAACAAAGCTTTCTGCTGAATTTTGTGACTTGATCCCAGATGAGAAATGTCACATTGAAAAAGCACTCATGAAAAATAAAATGGCTCTGAGCATTGCAGTTGACAGCTACAAAAATAATCGCAATTTCAAAACATTGCCATCCTGTGCCAGATTATGTTCAGCATCATCTGTCTCATGACACACTTCTCAGACTCTTCTCCAATAGCCAAGCATCCTAATGGATTTGCATACATTTATATTTTCGTTCAGCAGCAGTGTGTCCTTAACCTGCTTCCCCGGGCTGCTAGCTATAGCAGGACAATGGTCAGCAAGCTGCCATCGCCCTACACGGCTGCTAGATTTTTTTTGCCGCTGGTTACACAACCCCTGATGCGCCCAAAGCCACGGCTGTGGCGCACCGGGTCTGCTCTCGCTCCCTCCCGGAGCCGGCAACCTTGAGGAGGCACCGCCACTCCGGCTGCTCTACCGAGGGATATGTACTCCGCTATTTTACATGGAAGGGAAGGCAGCAGCGGCCACTGTAGCGGGGGTAGGGGGTCCGGGGCCGGTTCGGCTGCCCAGCAGGTAGCGGCGGAGATCTGAAGCAGCCAGTGCCACAACCCAGGATGACCGAGCAGCCATGCCCACCTCTCGCCCACCCTGCCGCACCTGTCCCGGCCCCATGTCGCTGCCGCCCGCGACCTTCGCGCGTCCCCTCCGCCGCCGCCACCCGGCCCGGCCCGGCCCGCGCCCCCTCACGCCATCCTGGTGACCTCTGCCCGGCCCCGGGCCAGCTCCTCGGCGGCCCCGCATACCACGCTGCTTGAGGCGGCTGGCGGCGGCGGGAGCCCTGCTCAGGCGGGAGGCCAGCGCCAGCGAGGCGGCCCGGCAGAGAGACATGGTGGCAGAGGAGATGGGCGGCGGCGCGGAG